ATGGTGTTGTGACAAGACCCAAGCACAATTTGAGGATGCCAGCTCGCTTGTTGGATTAAAGGGAAGATTAAAGACTAATTAGAGGATGATTTATTTTTAATTTCCCATGTTATTGACGTAAAGAGAATGCTTGATTTTATTTCCTAAAGTAAGAAGGATTGCTTTTAGATGACACTATATTTATAAGGGATGTAATTTTTTATTTTGACAGTGAATAATAATAATCCTCTACTTCCTTCTCACTACTTCTCTTCTTCCAAAACTCAAAATTCTCTCTACTTCTGAAACTCTCTCATTTCTCCCTTGCACTGAAATAATAGAGTTAAATAAACTCTTCTCTCTCTCAATTCTGATCAATAGATTTACTGTTTACATTTCCAGGTTGAGCTTAACAAAGGTCGAATTGTTGTTTCCACTCTATCCTTGCCTTAACACAATTTCCACTCCTTAGTTAGAATTAGAATACTATCAACCTTAAACCTAGTTTTCAAATTCAGGCGTTAAGTTAAACGAGAAAAGGGTGTTATTGTCATTTCCTATCACATATATAACATAAAACCAACGTAAGACATAATCCTAACCAAAACCCCACCAAAAACATAGAAAAACACAGAAAAAAATATACACAAAAACTCAGCCATTCCCGGAAGCTGAGTTTGTTGCTGCCATGGCATGTGCCGTCGCACCGCCAAGGCCTTGTGTAGGGTCCAGATTTTGTTTCCTCTTCTGCTTTGATCTTCAATACATACTATTTTATTTTCTTCAATGTTTCATCACCCCAAATCTCCCTACCTACCTGCTGCTTTTGTGGTATTTTGGTTCTTCATATTCTTTTTTGTTTCCCACCTAGGTTCTGCTTTTGGGTTCTTCATTTTTTTGGCTCTTCCTAATTTTTTTCTTGGTATAATTTTGTACATTGGTGCCCTCTTTGGTGTGTTTTTTTGGTTATGGATTAGTTTATACTGATTTTTGTGGTGGAAAGATTGCTGATTTCGTGGTGTGAATGAACATAATTTAATTTGATGTGGATGATTTTTTTTTTTTTTTTTTTTATGCACGAAGACTGACAATTCGGTGTTGATTTTGATTTTTTGGTTAGATGAACAAGATGGTGTAGTGTGCTTAATTTTGGGTGATCTATTTTTGTATTTAGGATTTTTTTTAATTTTTATTTATGAGGGTAAAATCGTATTTTCTCAAAGTTGGTCAAATAAATTGACGGACAATAACTTTGGGTGAAAATTTGTTTTTTCACGAATTGGGAGGGACAATGTAATTTAGCCTTAAACAAATATTGCCCCTGGAGCATCAGTAAAGCCAAGCCCAAGCCCAAGCCCAAATCCTACGAGGCATTTTTGTCTTCATATGGATGTTTCTTGGTTAATTATACTGGTTTTTCATCTGCAGATTTCAACTTGTTTTATTTTGCGTTTATCATAATATATTAAAGTAGAATTGTGCATTGAATCTTTTCGGTCTTTGTTGGTTCATCCTCACGAACAAGAAGAGCAAACACTCGGGGTCTTCGACCAGCTACTTTTGTGATATATACTGATCAAGTTGCACTTGATCATTTTTCATTGTTAAATTCAACATTGCAGTTTCATTCTTGTTTATTTTTCTTGCCTCTGTTACTGTTTTCAAAATTAATTTTCAGTCATTTTCTAAGCTTTACTTTATCCCAGTGCTCATAAATATCCTTAAAAATAAAAATAAAAATACTTTTTTTTTTTTTTTTTGATATAGTTTTTCATATTTCTAGCAATGATTTGATGAATTTTTTTTTTTTTTTTTTACTTATTCTCTTAACCATCGTTTGTCAGTTGGCTCTAATTTGTTTTAAAAAAAAAAAAATAGAATATCTAAAAAGAAATAGGCAATGGCTGTAGAAATAGTAGGAGGCAGTGTTGTATTTGGCATGGCATCAAAAGTTATAGAGTTCGTGTATGATTTCATTGGACGACATATATCTTATGTGTTCAAGTACCAAAGCCACATCTGCGACTCCATTTTCCTCAAGATGTCTTGAAATTTGGTTGTACAGAGCGCCCCCTGATTGCACATTCATCTTGTTACTTTACTGTTTGGATTTGTTTTATGCATTTTTATTTCTCAAGATATTTGGATTAGTCAGTGACAATTCAGTTCTTACATTCCTTAAATCACAGAACAAATTGTATAAAAACTGAACTTCAGCTGTAAACAAACTCAGCCACTTTTCAGAACTGTCTTCAGTAAAATGTTCTGTTTTCTCTGTTTTTCTCATTGTATCAGAGGTTTGAAATTGACTAATGTCAAATGGAAAACTTTTCCGCCTCATCATTTTCTGATCTCCCAGGTTCATTTTCTTGTCTTTCACACTTTTGTTTCTAACATGAAAGATGAATCTGCTGAATTCAAGAAGAAGCCAAATCCTGAGTATGGTTGCCGATAAAGATTTGAAAGTTGCTTGCTTTCTTTGTTCTCAAAATCTATGTTTAATCATTTATCTAAATTTCAATTTTCACCGGAAATCTAGACAAATTTAGTGAGAACTTTTGTTTCTGAATTGAAAGTGAGGACTATGCATACTAAGAGTTTGTTTCAAATCAGAATTCTAAGTATTAGTGATTACAGGTTTAAGATGAAAGAAATAGCTGATAGTCCATCCTGGCCAAGAAATCAATGGTGAAGAGTTGTAAGTGTACAGGTTGGATGTTTAGGACTGAATTTGTTGCAGTAGCAGTCAATCTCACCTCTAGAATCAGTACTGTCTCTAAGCTAGAACCTAAGTTTTTACTGCAGAATTATGAGGTTATGTTAGATTAGAGAGAAATTCTACTCCTATGATGTTTTGATTTGTCTGCTAACACTGATCATAACTAATTAATCTGCTGATAATTCTAAATTTTTAAAGTTATTCTGTTATTGATCATTGTTTTCATAACAAAGATTGTCATACCGAAAAAAATGTATTTTAGTTTTATGAAGTTAAACTCTTTGGACACCAAGCAGATATCTACTAATTATTAAAAATTCTAGTTGGTTTTTTGTGTTTTTGTTGGACAGGTAGCGCTTCTTCTAACAAGAAATGGAGCAGGATTTGGATGTGGAATGCAATGATACCCTCTGCCTGAGGGAGCCTTAATTAGAAGATTTAGACCAACAACTGTAGATGCCACGAAGGCTATGCTTGATCTTGAATGACAAATTTCTGGAGTTAATTAGTTTTGCAGAGTTGGACTTTAAATGTTATTTTTAGTAAGAGAAGTTAACATTATTGTTGCATTGTAGTTGAAGATTTTAGTTGGTTTCTATCTCCAAATGTTGTTGTGACTCCTAGTTGTTGGCCTCCTACAGTTGCACATTATTGAAGGTTTCTTCTATTCCTTTCTGAAATTTTTCGAAAGGTGTTAGTGGTCAAATGTTGAGTTGTTTTGCAGCTGGAGAGTTGTTTTAAAATTTTGTTGAAACCTTTTCAAAGGTTATGGTTTGCAAACCTATAGGCATGGTTTATAGTTTTAATTTTTTTTTTTTTTTTTTGGAAAAAGAGCTGCTAATATTGAAACTGATGTTTCTGATGATCAGTTCATGATATTGTTGTGGAGACTTGAAGGAAGCTGTGATTTCAGAGGTATTTTTTTTTTTTGTGAAAGCCTTGTTTCTGTAGCTAATTTTCATTTTCTATGTTAAAATTTTTCATTTCTAACAATGGCTTTGGACATTGATCGGCTATCAAATATTTCAAAAAACCTAGTCGGTTGTGTTTGGAAGATAGGTGCTCTTCTTCTAATAAGACATGGCGCTTCATTTTGATTTGAGAGGGAATGATACACTCCCTTAAAGAATTGTCTTGGTAAGCCACAACAGGGTTCCCATAGCTTCACCTCCCTTAGAGAGCTTCATGTGACCGCTTCCAGATCTTGTTTCTTTCCAGATGGCTTTCTCTCCATCTTGAGCAAAGTTAAAATTAGCAAATGTCAGGCCATAACATCTTTACCGTCTTGTAATTGGTGGGGCTTCAATATCCTTTCCAAAACAAGATATTCCCACCACTCTAATATCACATTTTATTGACTATCAATTTTTTTTTTTTTTTTTCAAGTAAAAAAAAGCCATGTCTATATGGTCTTTTTCAAACTAAACTCCATCCTAACTGCAAAAAACCTTTTAGATTTGCTAGAAGTAGTATGGGATAAGGAATTGAGTTCGAGGACAGATGTTTATTAAGTTCTTCTACAACCTTCTGTCAACTCGGCTAACAAACGAAATTGTTTGATGTCGATCAAGGGTATATATGTAATTTTGTTTGCTGTCCATGATTTAAAACAAAAAGTAAAACCAAAGAAACTTTTGTCATTATCTTCATTAAAGAATTATTTTCTCCTTGTAAAAAAGATATTCATCCCCTGAGAAGCTATAGAGGCAGAAAAAGAGACAATATCATGAATAAAGTTTTTCTCGTTTTTGATAAACTCATCATAAACAATTTGCTACTGAAAATTCTCCTCTCATCATTCTATTGCTACTTGTTTCTTTAAAAAAAAAAATCCTACCGAAAGTGATTAGAGAAGAAGGCAAGTTGCTGTTCAGGCTTTGTACTTGGTTGTTGATGTTGGATCGAAGTTCTACTGTTCATTTGGATATAAATAAATGGTGTGATTTAGATATATGCTTTGTATGTGAAGTCCTTTGAATATATGAATCAGTATATAAAGTGTTTGATAAAATGACTAAGAGAGCAAATGCATTATTGATTAAGTAAAAGGATTTCACTGAATGGGGTTGTCTTGACTTGTATATGATGAGATAAAGTTCTTCAGTTTAGGACAGCAAATCCATTTTTGAGTTATACGAAAAGAACTTACTTTCCGCAATTGTGTTAGTTGTAGTTTCTTAGAAATATATGGGTAGTGTACTGATATTTATGAAGTGTTCATTTTTGCCTTCTCAATGCCATTGAATTTGTAAATAATGGTCGTACTAAGGTCAATTGTTAACACATGAACCAATAATTTTCTTTTCAGTATAATGTTGACATTTCATCCGTTTAGTAACTCTTTTACCGTTTGTTAGATAGTCGTTGGAGATGATGGTGCATATTTCACAAAACCTCAGGGGAGGTGAGTAGTATTTTTTATACTTGTGGGGTCTTGCACCAGATCTTGCGTCTTCTCTAGAACTATACTCTGTTTTTTGACTCTGTTTTTTATCAAGTGATTGCTTCACATAGTCAGACATTATTTCTCTATGGCTTCATCAACATCTTCATCTTCCACTACTCTTCAAGACAAATATGATGTGTTCCTTAGTTTTAGAGGTGAGGATACTCGTCATAACTTTACCAGCCATCTCTATGCTGCTTTTTGTCAAAAGAAGATAAGAACCTTTATTGATGATGATGGACTTAAGAGAGGAGATGAAATTTCGCCTGCACTTTTGAAAGCAATTGAAGAATCAAAGATTTCTGTAATCATTTTCTCAAAAGAATATGCTTCTTCCAAATGGTGTTTAGATGAACTAGAAAAGATTCTTGAATGCAAGGAAAAGAATGGTCAAATGGTTATGCCGGTCTTTTATCATATCAATCCATCTGATGTGAGGAAACAAACTGGTAGCTTTAAAGATGCTTTTACTAAGCATGAAAAAAAATTCAAAAAGATGCTTGAAAAAATCCAGAGATGGATAGCTGCTTTGATTGAAGCATCCAATTTATCTGGATGGGATTTAATGGGCTTTGATTGAAGCATCCAATTTATCTGGATGGGATTCAATGGTGATTAAGTAAGTTGACTCTTTCTTGTGCATAAAATTTTCTATTTATTTTCATTCTTAGACTATGATCATATAATTAAGACCCAATGGTACATGACTAGCTATCATTAGATCTTGTGGTAAATTAACAATGTTTTTATCAATCTTGGTAGCTTATATATTATTACCATCCTCATTTCCGATATTTCTCTTCTTTATGGTCTTTGCTTTAACTAAATATTTCTCTTCGTATATTGTAGGCCCAAGTCAAAACTTGTAGCTGAAATTGTCAAATAAATATCGAAGAAATTGAGTGACATACCACCCTCATGTGACTGTGAAGGCCTTGTTGGAATAGATTCTCGCATTTATTGTATTAAGTCCTTATTGCGCATTCAATTGTTAGATTTTAAAATTGTAGACATTTGAGGAATGGGTGGTATAGGTAAAACAACGATAGCTGGAGTTATGTTCAACTAAATTTCTAGTCAATTTGATGGTTGTTGCTTCATTGCAAATGTTAGTGAAGAATCAGAAAAATGTGGCCTACTACATCTACGAAATCAACTTCTTTCTCAAATGTTGGAAGAAGAACATCTCACATTAGGCTAGGGGTGGAAAAATCCGGTTAACTGGACCGGTTAACCTGTTGTTTGAACCGAATCGGTTTTCAGTTCTAAAAATAAATTGAACCGAAACCGGTCCAGTTTCAGTTATAAACCGAGTCGAAAATTTGGTTCAGTTAACCGGTTTATAAACCGGTTAATTAAAATTTATGATGGGCTGCCTTTTTCGGCCCAATTCAGTCACCATTATAGGCTGCATTTTCTGGCCCAATTCAGTCCTTTTTATTTTTTTTTATTTTTCCAGGTTTAATGACGTTGAAACACCAAGATCCAAAATCAAACAACTGAGTTATTTCTAACCAAATAACAATTGATTCTCAACTCCAAAATCATTATTATCATTAATTGATGAAGTAACACAAAAAACTTGTAGTTCTAAATCATTCATTCTAAGTTCTAACTAACAAATACACAGCCATCACCATCAGTACATATACAAGAATTAAAACCAAAATCTTCAATGTCAACACCCATATCTGAAAACGTGACAACACAGATCTGAAAACCCATCGGCAACAGACGACGACGGCGACTGCGCAACGACGACTGCGACACGATGACTGCAGCTGAGGCGACGACTACGTGAGAATGCAGATCTGAAAACAGAGAGACAATGAGAGTCTGACAGAGAGTGAGAGACAAAGAATGAGACTGAGCGCGAGAGTGAGAGTGAGAGACAGAGACTAAGAGAGAATGAGACTGAGAAAACTGAAGGAAGAAGACGAAAAAAAGGTGAAAAGTGAAAAAAGAAAAGGAGAAGAGAAGATGAAGATGAAAGAGAAAAGTAAAGGAGAAGATGATGATGAAAAAGGAGTTGAAAAGAGATACGCGGAGAAAGATGAAAGAGAAAATGAGGAGAAGATTGAAAATATGGAAAAGATAGATGAAAGAGAAAAGTGGCAGTGGCTTAATTATAATAATATGTATTATTTATTTTTGAAACGGTTTTATAGTTCAGTTTCGTTAACCGGTTTAAATATTTCTAAACCGAAAACCAACCAATTAATCGGTTTATGAATTTTTTAAACCGAAAACCTAACCAGATTTTAGAAAACCGAATTTTGGTTCGGTTCAGTTTTCGATATTTTTTTTTCATCCTACATAGGCACTCCAATTATACCAGAATATTTAAGAAGAGACTTCAATACAGAAAGGTTATCATTGTCCTTGATGATGTCAGTGGTAGAGAACATTAGAATTTTTAATCAGAGGGATTGATCAACTTGGTCCAGGAATAGAGTCATTGTAACACTAGAGATAAACAAATGCTTTGCAGTTATGGAGTAGAAAACATATATGAACTTGAGGGGTTTGAGTAAGACCTGGCAAAACGGGTGGGTGGGTCAAACAGGTACGGGCTGGGTCAAACGGGTACGGGTTGGGTCAAATAGGTACTGGCCCTTATACGGGTCGATATATACGGTCCAATATTTGGACCCGTGCCCTATCCTATACGGGTACGGGTGGACCCGTTTTTTTCTCTCAGATTTTAGTTAACTTTCACCACCACAGTTTCAATTATGACATTACACCCCCAAAATTCCTGCAGTTTTAATTTTTTACATTTACACCCCCTAAATCAACCACTCTAAATTCAATTCAATTAAGAATATAAACAAATAGGAACCAAAATAAACAAATAACACATAAACAAACAATACATATATACAACCAATAGGTGTGTTTGTATATCGTTACAATCAATCAACCAAGTAAGAAACAAGCATACCTAGCCGTAGCATTTGCAATCGGTACTACATTTAACAAACTTGATAATTTTTTTCCCTAACAGGAATCCTTTGTTCTACATTACTCGTGCAACCACAAAACTTGGAACAAAGCCAGCTCCTTCATGGCAGCTTTTTCATCAAGGGACCCATAAAGTAACCCCAGAGATATTTAAGGTATAATTGGCAACTCAGTTTCCTTAAACATAGATCTTGAGCCATCTGAATGGGATAATAATTAGATTTGTACATATGTTCAAACCTGATATCACAGCTCCAGGAGTTAGTGTTCAGCCTGATTGAGTCCTGCAGCAATTAAATCTGTAATGACTTCAATCTGTAATGAGTTGGAAATCTGTAACTACTCTTCAGCTTAGAAATCCCTGATAAAGGTGGAAAATTAGAGTTAAATAAATTTCAACATAAAAAATTTAGAGACAACAATTCATGCCAAATTCTTCATTCGGTATTCAACACAAAAGAAAAGAAAGCATATAAACTATTTATCGAAAAGACTGTTAAACATACTAAAAAGCAACCAATAGAAATAAAAAAAAAACAACGAAAAACATGAACCAGCTAACATAATCAATTCAAAAAATCAGCAAGACAAATAGTTAAATTCTAGGGTAGCATGGCATTCATGGCTCATTTTGAGAAAAAAAATAAAAAAATCCACGTAAACCATCATTAGCAACTACACTAAAGACGGTAAAAAACTTACCATGAACAAGGAGCTATGTAATAATCTCCTTGAAGATAATCAAACGACCTCGTCACTTCTGCCGATAATCGAACACAATATCCGCTGCAATAAATGAAATCAAGAAATTTCACAATTTCACTAATCCAATAAACTTGTAAGAACAATAATTTAGGAATGCCACCTCAAATGGTAGCCAATACAAAAGCTTCTTCCCAAATACTTCAGCATAAAAAATACTCATGTAATTGAGGATTCAATTCATTCCAAACAATAATTAATGAAGCCACTAGAAAGTTTCTGATTCTCTCAATTCCCTGAACTCAGTATTTCTTGCAATTTCGTAAATTTCCTCTTGCACAAACAAACACTCAAACCAATTGTATCTAATTTATTCTCATGTTTTCACATTCCTTCCTCCCAACAACTAAAAACCAGATTAAAACTAAGTACAATTATAATTTTCTCACTTTTTCACATTGCTCTCTGTCCAAACAACTCAAACAAGATTAGAACTAAATTAAATTCCAATTCTCTCACTTTCCTCCCACATTTTCTTTCTACCCAATTTTCTCTGCCCAACAACTCAAAGAAGATTAAAAACCAAGTAAAATTCTTATTTTCTTCCACTTCTCAAATTTTCTCTCCGTCAAAATGACTCAACCAGATTAAGAATAAATAAAATTCTCATTTTCTCAGTTCTTTCCATCCAACAAAGTCAAACAATAAAAGTTAAGTAAGAAATTATAATTTGCTCTCACTTTCTCATTTTCTCTCAGTCTAACAACTCAAATAAATCAAAAGTAAGTACAATTATTGAAAGTATTTCATATCATTAAAAGTTTTTCAGATTGATTTGGGCCATTCACTTTTCTTCTGCTATCTCTTATTAGCCATTCATGCTCATTGGCTGTTCTTCACTACCTTCATTTTGTCTCGTCCAACAACTCAAACTAGATTAAAATTGAGTCAAATAAGTGAAAGTTTTCATATCTTTTAAAGCTATCATTTAAAAAATTTGTGCAAAGACATCAGTCAATTTTTAAGGAAAAAACAGTTTTGGTAATATAAATTTCAGTGATAGCAAATACACATAACCGATAATAATTTATCAGTATACATCCCTTATACATTAAGTAAACGCCACTTGCAAAACCCATCAACCAGGGGAACCCAACACAAACACACTCAACGACAAGATCGACGTACAAGGAAAGCTCACAACAAATCTGTCAAAAAAACAAAAACAAACACAGGAATTAGGGGTTAGGGATTCATTACCACTATGAGCATGAGTGACGGTGGCCGGCGACTGTGGTACCGCTAACTAGGAGATGGGAATGACGGACAAGTGACGAACTGACGAAGTGACAAACTGACGAAGTGACGAACTGACGAAGAGGGAGACACCGAGACAGGGAGTTGAACTTTAAGCACGAAGAAGATTGATGATTGATGAGAGATTGAGAGGCAGGAGGGATTTGAGTTACTGAGAGTCTGAGAGATGAGATGCGGTCACGATCTGAGACTGAGAGATCAGAGATGAGATGAGAGTGAGACTATGAGAGGCGTGAGCGTGAGCTGATAAAAACGTAGGATTCAAATTCATTAGTGAACTGAATAGTGAATAGTGACCACAACAATACGGGTGCCGCGGATTCACCGTATAAAACGTGAGATATTGACCGGGTAAGGGTACGGGCTCAAAAAATAGGTTTAATGTATTGGACCTGTACCCTATATTTTTTGCCAGGTACGGGCCGACCTGCGGGTCTAGAGCCCGTTTTGCCAGGTCTAGGTTTGAGTACGATGAAGCTCTTCAACTTTTTTCCGGCTATGCCTTTAAACAAAAATGTCCCATCTCAAATTTTTTGGGAGTTTTTCAAACAAGGTAGTAGATTATGCCAAGGGAAACCCGTTAGCTCTTAAAGTGTTGGGTTCTTCTCTATATGAAAAGAGTGTGCAAGATTGGAAGAGTGTATTGCGTAAATTAAAAAATATTTCCAATCCGAAAATTCACAATGTGTTGAAGATTAGTTATGATGGACTTGATCGTGAAGAGCAAGATACATTTCTTAACATTGCATGCTCTTTTAAAAGGGATGATAGCAAACGCGTAACAGAAATACTAGATAGTTGTTACTTGTCTACACATGTTGGATTGAGTGCTCTTATTGATAAATCACTTGTAACTATATCATACAACAAGCTCGATATGCATGATTTAATACAAGAAATGGGTTGGGAAATTATTTGCAAAGAATCCTTCAAAGAGCTTGGCAAATGTATTAGTTTGTGGAATCATGATGATGTCTTTCATGTATTGAAGAGTAACACGGTAAGAATTAAATAATTTGAATATCTTTCTTATAAAATATTTTCAGATAAGGAATGAAACCACGTATTATCTATATAAATTTTACTAAATTTTATGTTTTTGTTATACTAACTCAATCTTTTCCTTTCATATGAAGGGGTCTGATGCAATTCAGGGCTTGTTTTTAGATATGTCCAAAGTACCAAACCTGCATCTAAGTTCTGAAGCCTTTGAAAATATGCCAGATCTTAAATTTCTTAAATTCTATGTACCGTATCAGCAAGTTAAAGAATCTTTAAATATCTCTAAAGTGCATCTTTCCCAAGGACTAAAATATCTTCCCAATGAGCTGAGATATCTCTATTGGCATGGATATCCATTGAAAACATTGCCATCAAATTTTAGTCCAATAAACCTTATTGAACTCCAGTTGCCGTATAGTAATGTTGATGTACAACTTTGGGTAGATAACAAGGTATGATTCAATAGTTAAATTATGTATTTTTTGTTATAGAATGTATTGTAATGTTGATTCTGATTCATTACAATCATTATGTTTTACTACAGCATGGTTCAGATGTCAAGTTGCTTGATCAGCTTAATCATTCAGATGGTCCAGAGCGTGAACATTGCCAAAGTTTGGTTGACATTCCCTTATCTATTCAATATCTCAATAACCTTCGTGTCTTAAATTTGTATGGCTGTAAAAGTCTCAGGACTTTTCCAAGAAACATACATTTTAGAACTCTTAACATTCTAAACATCTCGTATTGTAGTAATCTCAAGATGTTTCCACAAATTTCGGGAAATATCAAAAGATTATATTTAGATGGGACAGCAATAGATGAAGTCCCATCATCATTGGAGTGTTTAACTGAGTTAGATACGTTACGACTGTGGCAGTGCGATAGGCTCAAGAGTATTTCGAAAAGCATTTTCAAGTTGAAATCTCTTTGTAATCTTTCTCTTTGGCGTTATAGAATTCCCAAAAGTCAATCATCATTCTGTCCTTCATGTTGGAAGGAATTTAGAAGTTTAAGCTTAGGTTTCAGCTATATAAAAGAAATTCCCGAAGCTCTCTTTTGTTTATCGTCATTGGAAGTGTTAGATCTAAGTGGAAACTTATTTGAGAATCTTCCTACGAGCATCATGAAATTTTTTCAGTTGAGCGTGCTACGGTTATGCTATTGCAAGAAGCTTCAATCAATATCAGAACTTCCACAGGCACTTGAACATTTAAATGCAAGCAATAGCAGGCAACCCCAATCAATAGCGGTGCCTCCATTGAATCTAGAAGGATTGGATGAACCAGAACTGGAAATAGTATATGAAAGGCTTCACTCATCTTCAGGTCGACGCATTGGATTCGTGTTTACAAACTGCTTGAACCTGAATCAGAATACCGACAACAACTTTTACAATTCCTGGGTGGTTCAGCCATATCATATCATGGTTGATTTATTTTTTCTCTTATTTCTTCGTCTTGTGCGCTCTATCATATCATGGTTGATTTCTTTTTACAGGAATTTGATGAAATACATAAAATCAGCTTATGTTTACCTGGGAGTGAAATTCCTGAGTGGTTCAGCCATCAAAGTTCAAGATCACATAGTATTAAGATATACGCCTCATATAGATCTTAAGGGTGACTGCACAACTGCCTCGTTTGAGTTCAGCGTGTATGATAAAAATAACGTAAGCCCAGAAGCAGGTTTGAGATTGAAATGTTGTGGGGTTCATTCACTGTATATACAGCCCAACATGATCAGTACTGAAGATTTAGGTGAAACAACAATAGCAGACAATGAAGATTTAAGGAAATTGCACGATGAAACCACTTATGGAAGTGAAAGTGGAATTGAAAATGGAACATATAAAGAGGTGGAAGTGGAACCAAATGCCAACACATATTGCTATTTACCAGCTGGTTGCTTATTCCTCTTCTTGTTTGTGCTTTCTGGCTACTGGAGCCTTTAATGGTAATTTATCTATTATAATATGCTTTCATGTCTATTATTAATATTAGGAAAATCTTGTTCTTTCTTTGGAAAATCCTTTATCCTCTGTTTTTTTAGCATAATATGGGACTAGTAATTAAAATTATGGTTTGGTTTATTGTTCTGGTTTACAGAATTTGTTGGCAATTATTGTTTGCGAAGTTTTATGATTTACTGAAAATTCAGGTTGTGATGATGCAATTGAGTTTCATATCACTAAATTAATTTTGTTAATTGAGTTTATAAACACTCGAACGTCTCCCCTATAATTGATAGTATAGTGCCTGGATGACTATTGAGGCTTTTTGAAGTAGTAATAACTCTACTGCCGATGTTTATAAATATTTTAAAGTGCTCTATTTTGAAGACAAGAAACTAAAATTGAGCTCCCTGCTTATTTTCTTTTGCTAATTTTATGAATGGTTGGTGATGTTTTCATTTTGGTAAAGGGAAAGCCTTTGAAGATGAGGTAGATGATTTGCTACTGCTAGATTTGGGGTTCAAATTGGAGCTGAAGGAGAAGTTCAGTTAAATCTTTTGGAGCTTATGAATTAGGTATAGCTAAAAAAGTATATGAAATTTAATGAACTAGTTTTATTGATATTCTTAAGAATTGATTCATGATTTTGGATTTTATAGAAAATTTTCTGTGAAATGGTTGGATATAACATTGTTGGAATTGATCAAATGAGTGAATGATACTTTTGCAAACAAAACTAAGAGATCCAAATAGGGTGCCCTGTTTTTCCTCTGTTTCCTCTGCACTTTTAACACTGATTTTGTCTGGTTACTTGAGTGGTTATTAGCTGAATGCACATATCTCAATTTTCCAGATATTGTAGCACTCAAAACTTGATATGTCATGCTCCTTAGCACTTCTAGAAGGGTTATTGAACCACTATAAAGAAGGCTGCTATAGATGTTGGAATTTTACAAATAAAGAAGGCTGAAAACTAACATGAACATTAGATTTATGTTTTTGGAAGGGTTATTTGGTTGTGGCTATGGTTTCCATGAATTTACCACAACTCAGTGTGGGCTCTTGATAGACTTTGTTTTAGGGTAAATCTTATCTTATGGAAGAAGTGTCATATGAAAACTTGTGTACATGGTTCATTTTAACTTTTATTAGAATTCATAAGTTTGTCCTTGCCATTACTCTGCCCAAGTTGTCTTTGTGATGCATTGTAGGAGTCTATTACATAGAGGATGACATGTTTTTGCACAGCTTTATATTTGGTCAAATGAAAACAAATGATTGGATTTTTTTTTTTTTTTTTTTCAAGGGGATTATTTTCTTCGCTGGTTCACGTTTTCCATCAACTAGTTAGATTCTTATTCTCAGGTGTGCTCAATAATCATCTGTTTTATAATGATTTAATTTTATAGATAAATTCCTAAGAAATGACAGTGCATAATCATCATATTGGCTTTATAGAAAATTGATTAAGAACATGAAATGACAGTGCATAATCAAATATGTTTTTACTTTTACAAGTAGGTCTCTTATAATACTTTTGGACATTCAATTTAAAACTCTTTAGATGTCATGTCTTTGATGAACTGTAACTTGTAAGTCTAATGCCCTATATGCTGGACTGTTTTTGCAAAGGTTTGCACTTTTACTACGAAATTGTAAGTGATGAGGTTGACTAAGAGGATGGTGTTTCTAAGTGCGACATAAGTATAGTACAGAGGTCAGTTGATTTTTGTTAATTTGGGGGCAAGAATTGTGAAAATGAAGAATTCTCTTATTCAATGAATAAGAAGTCTGTTACATTGTTGCTTATATACAAAGAAATAATACACAGCCGTTTAACTAATTTCTTCTAACTATTTTAACAAACTTACAGCTCAGCATAACTAATTTCTAACTAACTAAGTTTTCTTCTATATACATAACAACTTGATCTTTAACAATTTTGATTTTCTTTAGTCCTGATTAAGGAAACATTTGATCCTAAAATAGAACACAAAATTTTAAAAGAGTTGTAGTTTATTTCAACAATTGAACATTGTTAGAATTTGATCAAATGAGGTACAAATTGTCTATGTATTCCTCTGTTTTCTCCCCTGTTTTTGGAAAATTTTCTGTTTATTTACTTTTTTTGAGTGATTTATTTCTGAATCTAAATTCAGCAATTCTTACTCAAATTGCTGGAAATTGAAATAATATAAATTCGACTTACAGTATTATAAGTTAAATTGTTTACTTATAAATTGAACGTGAATTAATTTGTCTGATAATGGTTGTTTGACATGTGAATGAACGAAAATTCTTAAAACAATTATGATATCTCAGTGATTTAAGTCTCACAACCAATGGCCATATTATGAAAAGCATTAACATATCCATAACTCTACCACAGAAGAAATTCGAACATTTTAACTCCCAGCAACTTTGGTAATTATGCAGAGAGCAGAAGCACAGGAAGCCTGCTGAAGAAAGTTTCAACAAAACAGCTGTTGTAGGTTCAATACGCATGGTTGCACAAAGTTGTAGAGAAAGACATTAGTAAAAATCACAAGTGTAGTTTTCTGTAGGTGCTCATGAATTTGAAGATCATCTCACAGGTTTAATTTTCTTGTCCTTCGTCTTTCATTTCTATTTTCTATTAAGGAGGATGATTCTGCTGAATTCATGTAGCTGTGAATCCCGTGTATGTTTGCTGGAAAAGAATTCATAAATTGTTGTGAGTTGGTCGCTTGCTTCGACCTTTGACTCTATGTTCAGATATATATCTAAATGTTTGTTTTCATTTGAAATCTGGACAAATTTAGACAGATTTTCATTTTGATTCGAAAGTAAGGACTATGCATCTGAAAAGTTTGTTGCGAACTGATGAGAACCTGGTTATTTGGCACTCAACACAACCAAACAGATGCAGAATTCACAACCATTGCTCACATATAAGAGAGAACAATATAAATAGAAACAATCCTATATTGCATAATTATGATATCAATTCAACTAGAGATGGCAATGGGTCGGNAAATGTGAAAATGAAGAATTCTCTTATTCAATGAATAAGAAGTCTGTTACATTGTTGCTTATATACAAAGAAATAATACACAGCCGTTTAACTAATTTCTTCTAACTATCTTAACAAACTTATAGCTCAGCATAACTAATTTCTAACTAACTAAGTTTTCTTCTATATACATAACAACTTGATCTTTAACAATTTTGATTTTCTTTAGTCCTGATTAAGGAAACATTTGATCCTAAAATAGAACACAAAATTTTAAAAGAGTTGTAGTTTATTTCAACAATTGAATATTATTAGAATTTGATCAAATGAGGTACAAATTGTCTATGTATTCCTCTGTTTTCTCCCCTGTTTTTGGAAAATTTTCTGTTTATTTACTTTTTTTGAGTGATTTATTTCTGAATCTAAATTCAGCAATTCTTACTCAAATTGCTGGAAATTGAAATAATATAAATTCGACTTACAGTATTATAAGTTAAATTGTTTACTTATAAATTGAACGTGAATTAATTTGTCTGATAATGGTTGTTTGACATGTGAATGAACGAAAATTCTTAAAACAATTATGATATCTCAGTGATTTAAGTCTCACAACCAATGGCCATATTATGAAAAGCATTAACATATCCATAACTCTACCACAGAAGAAATTCGAACATTTTAACTCCCAGCAACTTTGGTAATTATGCAGAGAGCAGAAGCACAGGAAGCCTGCTGAAGAAAGTTTCAACAAAACAGCTGTTGTAGGTTCAATACGCATGGTTGCACAAAGTTGTAGAGAAAGACATTAGTAAAAATCACAAGTGTAGTTTTCTGTAGGTGCTCATGAATTTGAAGATCATCTCACAGGTTTAATTTTCTTGTCCTTCGTCTTTCATTTCTATTTTCTATTAAGGAGGATGATTCTGCTGAATTCATGTAGCTGTGAATCCCGTGTATGTTTGCTGGAAAAGAATTCATAAATTGTTGTGAGTTGGTCGCTTGCTTCGACCTTTGACTCTATGTTCAGATATATATCTAAATGTTTGTTTTCATTTGAAATCTGGACAAATTTAGACACATTTTTATTTGATTCAAAAGTAAGGACTATGCATCTGAAAAGTTTGTTGCGAACTGATGAGAACCTGGTTATTTGGCACTCAACACAACCAAACAGATGCAGAATTCACAACCATTGCTCACATATAAGAGAGAACAATATAAATAGAAACAATCCTATATTGCATAATTATGATATCAATTCAACTAGAGATGGCAATGGGTCGGGTACCCCTTGGCCCGACCTAGGCCTGACCTCATGACCTTGGCCCGAGCCCAGCCCAGGCCCATAACGGGGATATTAGGTAATGCTAAGGCCCGACTTGATGGGCTTTCTTTGATATATTTTACTTTGTCATTTATATTAATTTAATTAATAATATCTCTTGCTTTAATCACCATATTTTTTGTGTGTATATGGTGGACAAGAGATCTTGGGTTTGACTAAAATCGCAATTGATTGTTATCTAATAAAATAAAATAAACTTTTATTTTTTTTAAATAATAAAAACTCGGGCCGTGTTGGACCTGGCGATGGCTGTCTCGGGCCCATCCTGTACCCCAGAGTGGGCCCTAAAACCATACCCAAGCCCATGCCCATCCTCGTAAACATCAGGTAATGATAGCTGGGTACCCTGAAATCTGAGTACAATTGTCATTCCTAAGTTCAACAACGATAATGAAAACAAGCAAAGTAAACAACAGTTAAATGAAATATAGCCTAGCAATTCGAGGAGCTAGGGACCTCCTTTCCAATTTCCCACTAAAATGATCTCTAGCCATTTACAAGTTGTATTCCTATTGTTATATCTTGAACGGCACACATAATCCATTGCTAATGCCACGTGGCTAACCAACTTCTCCCACTTGCAACAACCTTATGCTAATCAGCTATTTTGTTCCTTTTATAAATATGAGTTAGGGTCTTATCAAACTTCCAACCACCCCAACC